CAAAGCAGAGACAGAATCGGTCAGAACATTCAGGCCGGCAACAGATGTATTTTTGCCCTCCAAAACCTTATAAAATCAAAACAACTAACACGACGTACGAAGATACAGGTCTATAAAACAATCATACGACCCGTTGTGATGTATGGAAGCGAAACGTGGACGATAACAAAGGCAAATGAAGAGAGACTACGTGTTTGGGAAAGAAAAAAAAAGAAGATCTTTGGTCCGGTGCTTGATGAAGCATCTGGACAATATAGGATAAGAACTAATAAAGAGCTTGAAGAACTTTACCCAGACGCCAACATCATAAAAGAAATAAAGTCCAGAAGACTCCAATGGGCAGGACACCTCAGAAGACATTCTGACGAACGAACAGTAAGACTGGTGTGGGAGGAAGTCCCAACTGGAAGGAGACCACGCGGACGCCCTCGTCTCCGGTGGCAAGATAATATAGCAGGAGACCTAAGCACTATGGGCGTGGAGAATTGGATGGAGTTTGCTCAAGACAGAAAACAGTGGAGGCATGTTGTCGAGTCGGCTAAAACCCACGAAGGGTTGTAACGCCACGGAGTAAGTAAGGAGTAAGATATAATTATTATTTGTTCTAATAATTTATTATATATTATTGTTCATCAAATGTCTTCCAATTAATAACAATTTTGAATCTTCTATTTAAATTTTTATTCTAGACACTTAAAATAATTTTATTTTGCTCTTTTGTCTTTATTTGCTTCGTCGTAGTATTATAATAATGAATATATTCCTCTAATATTTCGTTTCCTTGATAGTTTTTCTTTACTTCAGTCAGTACCGCTATCTTGATGTCCATTTTCAATTGTTTTAGTTCCGTAAAAGTTTCTTGATATTTATTGTTTTCGTTGCCGAGTTCATTTCTATTCGTTTCCTGATCCCGGTATCGAAGGCTTTTTATTGGAATTTTTAGCTTATATTTTCGCTTTTCAGGTTTCCCCTCCTCCTTTCTCAACTGGTTTAGGACCGGCTATGCCAGAGTTTAAAACTTGAAAATTTTATTCAGAAAGTCTAAAGTTAGCGTTTTTTAAAACACACGACAAAAAAAAAGGTAAAAACTTTTGACTTTTTTGTGGATCTGAAAAACTCATGGTAATTTTGCCGTTTTAAACGATGATCCCGTAAAATTATAAACCGATACTTTCATGAAAAAATCACTTTCTGTCACCTAAACTTTGAATTGGAAAAGGTCGCAATTTGAAACCAAATCCAATAATTTTTTTTATGTTGACTGGGCTATAAAGATATTAGATCTCTGCCATTTGCCATGTGTCTATATTTCGCATAGACTTCAAGATATATCACCTTTCAAGGTGTCGTTTTCACAAACTGCGTAATGTATTCTTACGGTCTTAACTTCAAAGAAGTAGATTATTAGCATCTGTTTTATAAGTAGGTCTATCTTTTTAATATTAATATATTAAATAAAAGCAGTAAAAAACGGTAACCGTCATGCCAATCTCGATTGACTAAAATAAATGGAATTTCTTCAAGATTATAAATAATACACCAGTTTTTAATTCTCAATACATTTTATTACCTAAATGATACTATGTAACAGTTTATTTTATAATCACATTCGAAAGGAGTACAACAAAGATATTTAATAAAAAATAGTTTTTACTCTCCATTTTCTTTGAAACCCTCTTTAAATGTGTAACCTCCAATTGCCAGACGAACATTCACATGCAATGGAGTGCTCCTGTACATACAAAAGAATCAACTATAGAGAAAATGTGACAATTATACTACTACATAATTTTTCGTGTATTAATTAAACCAAGATTATTATACACCAAAATTCACCCTAAGGATATAACTGATGCAAATACATATACAAGTTCACATTCTATTCCTATATCCTATCGATTAACCTATTTTGAAAAGATCTATCTTCTGGAAGCATAACCTAAGAAATTACTACTCTACTTAAAAGAGCCCCACCATAATCATACAAAAGTATTTTAGTTAAAAGTTTCTCCTCATTACATCTCTGTTTGCAAATTATCACTGCCACAATTAGAGGCTAAATAATATTAGAACTGGATGATATGATTTATATATAACAAAATAATGAATACTTTTAATTTGCTAGTCTTTTAAACGTCATTCAATGTTTGTTAATCGTTTCTACAAAAAAAGTAGCAAAATATAACCGTATGTTTATGTTGTAAATATGTATTGGAATGCGTTGCAGTATGAATAATATGTCGTGACAAGTGTGTTATGATTCCTGGTATTACGTATATTTAGTAATGACTAAATTTATGTGCATATCATTGAGATATATGGCATGCCTGAGTTCTTTAAATTTGTTTAACGGTCTTGTCACAAAAATACTGTGAAATACAGTGAAAATTAAATGTCTTTATTCAAAACTTTCCACTAGTCACTTGACAGAATGATCTATTATAGACCAGTAAACATTCTCAAAATGTTTTATTGTCAATAAATATGGACTGAATGAGTGTTTGACTACAATCGTTTATGACAAACTCTATGTAGTTATGAACAACTGAAAATGCAGCTATCTAATAGTAAAAAATAATTCCGTTTTTCGGTATGTTAGTAATAAAAATCCAAAAGCATCCATTTCAGGGTCGTAAAATTGGTTTCTGTGGGATTTAAAAAGTCCTACAGCACAGCAGATTGTGTTGTTGTGTTCTGTATCTAGTGAATTTCTAGTGCCAACTTTTGTAAGCTTTCAGCTACAATAATCAGCGAGGCAATTTTCATTGAGAAAATGTAGTTGTGTGTGTGAGTGCTGTCGTTTTTTTTACTGTGGACTTAATTCATTAGCCAGAAGGTAATTCTAACAGGGTAGATTTTTAGAACTGGTCGATGTTTCAGCGTTAGATAATGAAACAATGATCTTATGTGACACTTGACAGTTAAACAAATATCCTTGAACAAATATAGCATTGTTTTAAATGACCGCGTTAAATTAAATACAGTTCTTTAGAGTATGTTGCGTCTAAAGGAATCCAATTTTTAGATTTGGTCTTATTTTTAGAAGTGAAAGAGGAAAAATTTTTTAATTGAGTAGATGTTTGTACCACAAAATTCTAAAATAAAGTGAATTTTAAAGGAATCCTTTATACCGAAAGACAACTGGCAACGATTATTTGATAGTAAAGAATAACTGTTTTGATGATATACTTCTGTGTGAACATTTCAGCAGTCCATATGTTACATATGACTGAAACTATATTACCGACATTATAATCTCATCATTGCTATTCATTTACTACCTGATTTTACTTAATTGCTTCGATTGTGTTCTTCTTTTCATTAGTTACTAATGAATACAAATGAACGATCTGATAGTACATATTCACAAAACTAGAGAATTAACTTTTAAATTAATTAAAGAGTTAACTTTTTAACAAGCAATTGATTGTATCAAATCAAACAATCCAGCTACTAAATGGGATATATTATTCTAAATGATCTACTATGCAGTATATTTTTATTTGTTTGACGAAAGAATTTTTGAAGGCAGGATATTTAGATCACAGTAGAATTTGTGGCAACGATAACTTGGCGTGTAATTTCGAAAAACTTTCGAAAATATTTCACGGAACGATCAAATTTTTGTGATTAAACAATCCCAAATTGAAAATGTAAAATACATTATGTGACACGAATATGAAACAATAGTATAAAAAATTCTAAATTAAATTCCAAATCGTTGTTTGAAGACAATTTAAAATATAAATCACAATAATAGGATTTCAGGAATATATGTCTTGATGAAAAATTCAGTCTTTCCAAAAAATGACTAGTAGTAAATCTTCTTCCAAGTTTTAAACTTACACTAATACAAAAACATAATTGTAACATCACTTTCACTGTAATAATTTAACATAAGTCTTTTGGCAATTCGTGTAAACCAAAGAAAAAGATTGATTAAGCTCCACAGCTTCTAAGTTGGCACTAAGTCAGGCAGTTCCTACACGGTATATCGGCTCGTATCACAGTAATTTTTAAAATACGGAGAAGTCCAGTTAAGGAATACCGATTGGTGGAAACATTTCAGAAAAAAAAACGTTACCTTAACACTATTTTATCTATTCATAATATTTAACATTTATGTTTTGATTGATGGATTTTATTTATATATTTTGAAAGTGTCGGGAATAGCCTATCACAGGAGCGGTGAACTTAACTTAATAAAATGAACAATAGAGTGGTCGTAAACATCAATCATCACAGATCAGAAGATTTTCATCTGAGAGGTGTACAATAGACATTTAGCAGCGTTTTGCTATTTTAATTGAAAGATCCTTTTTGAAATCATACGAAAATGGAAATTTTCGATGACCTTTTGAACACTTTTACTGAGATCCTAATATGAAATAAAGATATCACTTACTAGTGCGACATTGAAGTAGAATAATGACGTGGTGGCGATGAGGAACTAAGGGATCTAATTTGTGCTCCGCAGTAAGCGATATTTTTTAAATGACTTTTCTGATTCCCATGAATTTCCAAGAAATGTAAGATTTATCTCGATATTCTAAAACTATCGCTATGTGAAGAACATACAGGGGTTATACCATTGGCATGTTTTATAAATGTTTGTTCTAATGTTTTAGTATCGAAAAATTTCATTTGGCGTGGCTTATAAAGGTTAGAAACTTTCGTTAATATTTTTGGAACAAAGTAAATAATACACATAACCGCAAAAGTTTTGCACCTCCAAGAATTATGCTCATTTTTAAGGTTGATTTTCCCGTGAACGGATTCTGCTAATTTTGTTTTAGATTTTTTCTACTGTTGGGCAAAGGGCTACCCACTCAAACTTCTCTTTTGGGCTTATACTTATACTCCTTTCGCAGAAAAGAAATGTTTTTTTTTATGTTAAGTTTAAGACACCCTCTAGGGAGGATAAGGTACAAGGGTGGGTATACATCGAAATCATGTTATAGTTCCATGTTTTGTTAACATTTTGTTTTTTTTTTAATTTTCCTGATCTTTAAAACCATAAGCATAATTTTTGGTGGTGGAAAACTTTTGTGGTTAAGTGTATTATAATCTTTAGACTCCAGTATAATAACGAGGACTAAATTGCAATATTGAAAATTGCAGCAATATGCTAAGTGAGCAGTTTCGCTCATTACAAACAACTACCAGTAAGTGGAAATAAGGTCATTATAAAGTGAATACTCAATGAACTAAGTACCTACACATTAAAGAATTTAGTAGATAATTTGAAAGTAAATCTTACAGAAAGACTAGTTCATTATACTAATATGGAACAATTATGGTTTAATAATTTAACAATATGTGAAATGCAGTAGCGTAATAGGAAATAGTGTTAGGGGAAGATATACTAAAAGAAACTATCCCGATAAAACTAAATGACTAATTTAAATGATGCTACAACACGCTTATAAAGATATTAATAAAGCAGTGAGAAAGGACTTACGACAATATAACAAAAAACATCAAATCAACGGTTCTTAAGGAAAATAGAAGTTTAAGAGTGCTGAAGAGAAGTCAAGCTCTAGATAAGAACAATGTTGTTAAGCTAGCAGATCGAAATAGACATAACCGATAATTAACATAGTTTTTAAAGCATTTTACACATAATTATATAGAGAAAAAGGTAAAAAAGACATGGGTTCAGAGGACATCGCAGAAATAACGTTAAAGAAGTCATATTAAATCAAATCCCAAAGAATAAAGCAGCTTGTGATTACCAAATCGTTATTGAGCCAGTTAAAGCAGGAAAAAAACGAAAAGCAACGACATAACGTCTTTCAAAAGAAGTTTGTTAATGAATTATTAAACCGTCTCAGTGGAATAAAGCTGTTATAGTAGTTATGCACAAAAAGGAACATATAACAGAGCTAAAGAACTATAAACAAAGCTTGTTATCTCACATTTATAAGGTGTTTATGAAGATAATAACTAAGAGGTTGACATCGAAACTAGAATTCTATCAATCTTGTGTGTGTTCAAAAAGAGGGGGTGGCCTTTTTGTCTCAAATATAAATATCAATCTTGTGAGCAAGCAAAATTTAGAACTGGATACGGAACAAACGGTCATTCAATATAATAGTACCTTGATACTTGTCTTTGTCGACTTTGAAAAAGCATTTGATATTGTCAACCAAAGTGAAATGCTCCGTCCTCTAAGGCAATGTCCAAAAACATCTATGAGCATGCTACAGCTTTTGTAAGACTTAATGACGATACTGTATACAGGGAATATACCTGGAAAACAACAGATTGTACCGAGAAGGGCATCAATCTAGATTGGAATTTTTTAAATAATCTTACGTTTGCAGATGAAATCGTTCTCATTGCAGACAGCTTTGAACAGACGCAGATAATGCTCCCAAGAAACTGCAGCTACTACACAGTAAAAATACTTTAGTTCCGAAGACAAGGAGTCAGTTGACTTCTATAAGGATTTAAACCATGAGATCAGAATCGAGGTAACAAAACGATCAAGATGAAAAGAAGAATAAACCTAGCTAAGAGAAGAAACTCATTCAACAACAACGAGTAAACTACAAGTTGCAGAAAGAGCAATGAAGAGAATAATGTTTTTTATGGATAATGGTAATTTTCTATACCTAAGCACTATGGGCGTGGAGAATTGGATGGAGGTTGCTCAAGACAGAAAACAGTGAAGGCATGTTGTCGAGTCGGCTAAAACCCACGAAGGGTTGTAACGCCACGGAGTAAGTGTATTTTCTATACCTAATGCTACTATACGCAAAAGGTTAGGATCAGACGATATTAAAAAATTCATCTTCATTAGCTATTTTGAGTCCACTTTTGAACATAGGTCTCCCGTAAATAATTCCATTGCTGATGTCGTCCGATCACCTTGTTGATCACCATCCTCGATTACAACGAGCATCGTGCCTAGGTCTTCATTTTAAAATTTTCTTTTTCGATCTTCCATCTTTGGCCCCGGCAACATTTACTGTCAATTCCATTTGTAATTCTTTTAACTGGGTCCTTCTTAACACCAGTTTTTCTCCTAATTATTTGATTTGAACTGTGTCAACCTCCATTGCCCTCTGTGCATTGAAAGAATAACAACATTTAAATGGAACTGGTCAGGTCATGTAGCAATGGCAGTCGATGATAGGTTGACGAAAAGAATTTTGAAAATAGTGAATGCAAATTGGATTCAGATGGCGCAAAATCGGACTAAGTGGCATGCGAGAGGTCTATATCTAGCAGTGCACGTTGGAGGGTAGATGTCAATAATAGAAGACGTGACATATATATGAAGCTATGAATGAACTTTATTGTAAGATAAAAAGATTAACTATTATAAGCGACCAAAGGTCTTATCATATATAAGAAATTATGCATATTTTTTTTCTTATGGAAAAATACTATTAAAAGTAGAATTTCGGCATCAACAGAGATTATTTATTTGCTTAAATCTAGTTCAAATACATAGTTTAAGGTAGCGTTTTTACTTATAATATTCAAGAAGTCCCTCACCAGAGTCCGTATCACTTATCTCGAATTTTCTATAACGAAGTCTCGTGTTGCACTGTCGTTTTTGGTGGAGCAGAAATTCCAGATATCGTTGGTAAACTAGAACTCGGCACTATTTCGGGTATTTTAGCTTCGCCTTTAAGTAGACCATCGTAGCTAAGATCGGGTAGCACGCTATCGATGAAACCGACCTTTCTGCAGACCGAAGTAGTGGGTTCTTCCATCATCAAGAAGCCTCTAGGTGGTTCTTCGATATAATTGATGAATGGAATTTCGGTGGGTGACTTGTCCATCACCGACCTTTCCGAAGGCGTGTAGTACAAAGACATTCTACTCTGCGTCACGTCTGTGAAACTAGCATCTAGGTTAGCGAGTTTCTCTATTTTACTTTTTATGTAGCAGTCTACGCTCTCTGCGTCGGTGGGGTCAAACACTAGGGATTCTGCTCGGCCGCACGTTCCCGTCCGACAATTTTCAAAATACAAGCTGGGAAGATTCTCCAACACCTTGTTGAGAGTCTGTTGTTGATACTTATACGTCTCTCGAAGTTTAAGGACTTTATGAGAACTGAATTTGCGGATCTTGTTTCGCTGGAAGACGTAGTTTTCTCTGACCCAATTCAGCTGACCCGTGGAGTAATCTCTTACTTTCTTAACCTGAAATGAAAATATGTAAAATAGGAGACTGATTTAATGAATTTAATTACTATAAATGGATTTATTTGTTAAGTACTTATGTTTCTACATGCGTAAGTAACTAACAAATAAATAAATTTAGATTGGTAATAGTTCACATATGTTTAACTCTACTTTTTATTGTAGCTTTATGTTCTTTTGTCTTTTACTACGCTTAATAATTGTTTTTATAAATAATTAAAATTGTTTCTATTTAATTTGTGGAATATTATTTATCTGATAAGGTGTAGGAAAATTTTATACATTTGCAAATTCCTGATTGGTCGAACGGCCAGGCCTAAATCTGTCAAATTTTCAATTTAAAATGTGACTGCACAAATTAGTATGTATGCCAATAAAACACATATCTCAAATAAATAATTTTACTTACTTGATCGTAATATTGACCTCTTAAAGTGCTCAGATGAGCAGTACCAATGTCCCGAAAGTCTTTCAGATGTTTCGCCTGGGCCTGGTAGCTGTTTTGGATCCATTCCATCTGTTGTGCACAGTTGTCCTTTATTCTCGTCACCTGCAATTAAAGAGTAGTAGGTACATAAATCGAACGAAAATAGTATTAGACGACCATTAAAAACATTCTTCAAATTTTATTACTTTATTCATTTAGAAAAACAGTCATAAATTATTGCGTAGTTGGCATTATTTTGATGCAATTATTTTGTAACATCTAATAAAATTGTTCCATTAGTAAATTAGCGTAAATGCATAAAAAGTTACATGGTCAATATACAATAATTATATTGTAGATAAAGAATACAAAACAAAATTCAGGTAATATCAATATTTTCTAAGTAAGTAGTATTCTAATACTGCCATAAATCCTCAATATCTAAAATCCTGTGTACAACGAATACTTTAGATTGTACAGAATTGAACCTTACATAAGTATCAATTTCGATATTCGAAATATCTGATCTAAGAGTTAACTTGACCACATCCAAATCGCTTCTCCAAAATTTTTGAATTTCTTGAATTATACTTCTTTTTTTCACTATTTCCCCCTGCTTAATAAGTTATACGATGCCGCATTTATCAACGCACTTTTTTGCTACAGGTATTGTAATTTTACGGAGAATAATTTCCTTGTATTAGATTATCCCCTCTTCTTAATCTTCTGATTCAATTTTGTATGGATTGGTCATGTTTGTTGCACCTATAAACTATTCTCATTTTCTACTTACATTCTGGTGCCTTATACATGTTGCTGCGTTAGGTTCTTTATATTTCTATTGATTTAATTTTATGATGGGATTACCGCAAAACTATAATTCGATATCAAACTAGTAATATATCATCCAAATTGGAAACCAATATTCATCTCTCTTTCGATTTTTTTACTTAAGTACGCCTACACTTTTGTAAGTCCTAATCGCCAGTCAGATATTTTGCAAATAAAATACCAATTTATTGAAATTCTTTTGTTATTTTTTTTTTAATTGTAAATATGAAATTAACAAAAAAAATTTATGATATATGGAATTATTTTTACAGTTTAATTATGTCATTTTTGTTGATTACTATTTAATTAGTTTTTTGATAGCCAAAACATACTGACAACGAAATGTTGGAACAAGAGGATTTTAACATATTAAAATAAATATTAATAATTTGTAACGTCGCCCTTAGATTGAAAACAGCCTGAACTCTATTAGGGATTGTACCAACTAGGTCTTCATAGAACTCAGGGGTGAAACTATCTCATATTTCTCGTAATTTAGCACGTAGTTGTGGCAAAGTAGGCTGAGGGTTATTTCTTAGGCGTTGTTTCATTTTGTGTCAAAGTGTCTCTATTGGATTAACATTCGGGCTGCTAGAAGGATGTTACAACTTTAATATCATGTTATCCCAACCATATTTGGTAGATTGAGCCGTATGGCAGGAGGCTCCGTCCGGCTGAAAGACAAAAAACTCCGAATGGATATAACTAAGCCGCACTTGGTAGAGGCCAATATTCAATGATATATTGATATTTAGCTGCGTGTGCTATGGCAATAAAATAAAATGTAATGTTCCCAACTCTTTTGCCGACATACAACCCCATAATGATGCCATGTGGAAACTTTACAGTTCTTTACAGAAAATCCTGATGGAATGCTTCTCGAATTACACTTTTGCACAGACATCAAATTTGCTTTCGTCGCTATATTTAACTTTGTCCCGGTTATGTTTGGTCCAAGAAGGTTTTGATTTAGCCCAAATGTAACGATTCCTTTTTTGAGTTTCCCTCAGCAATGATTTTTCTTTGGCCTACTCGAATAAATCAAAAAACAGAGAATTTATATTGCAAAGAAGAACCTATCAAACAGACCTTATAAAAACTAAGACCGCTTTTGTGGATATATTATTTGCAACAGGATTCTCTGGAAACATTCATCCCAGTTTCTCTATTCCTTCTAACGGTTATTTCTCGTAGTGTATTTCTTCTTTCCGACTTACATACTCGAATTAAATGCACTACTTAGAGAAACAGCTTCAACTGGCAACATCAATACTGGCAGCTTCATCATATTTATTAATTATATTAAACACCATAGTTGTTGCTACAGTCAATTCACTGGAAATTTCACACATTGTTTTCCCTTCATGGTAATGATGAGTAATAATTTCTCGAACTTTTGGATAAGTAGGGTTTCCACGTTCCATTATTATATTTTCGTGGTAATAAAACTGACAGTCTTTATTCATACTCAAATGAGCCATGGCAATTATTGTTGACGACGCACTACCTACTCGTATGTTTGATTTCAAAGTCTTCTTTGTGTCAGGCTGATAAAATTTAAGAAACGTGAGGAAAAACAAAAGATGTTCCAACATTTAGTTGTCAGCAGTTTTCGATTATTAAACAATGAATTACATAGTATTCAATATAAAATATATAATTAAGGCGCAAAAATAATTCTATACCTCATAAAAAATGTTAATTTCATATTCACAATTAAAAAAAAATTAATAAAAGAATTTCGGTAAATTGGCATTATAATCGCAAAATAACTGTTTTTCGGGCACGTATTTTGCACCAATTTTCCTTGCATTCTCATAAACTCTGCCTTTCCATTTAAGTTTTGGCCTAACTCTCTCTCTACGTCTCCTGAGCTATGGCATAAAAGCTCGTTTGGAATATTCTTCTGTGTGGTTATCATGCTAGATATCTTGCCTATCTCAGTCTTCCTATGTTAAAGACTATGGCTTTCCATCTGATATGTGTTTGTGTTTGGTATATATTTTTTTCAATAAGATATATGTATATGCTGGATAACCAATATTTTCGTCAAAATATTGGTTATCCAGCACATTTAGGAATTTCATAAACATTTAAATACACTTAAAGAAATAACGAACACTAGACAAAAGGGCACAGTTTAAAATAATTGTTTAGGATGCTAGATTATGTGCATGGGATTCTGTTCCTGTCATTTCCCATAATGTAGCATCCTAAACAATTACTTTAAACTGTTTGTCCTTTTGTCTGGTAATCGTTATATGTATAAGTGTGTTTATATGTGTATGTGCTGGATATAGCTAATTTTTTGACGGAATGCCCATGAATATCCTCTATGAGCACCTATTTCATCTATGATGAAAGTACTTGGGTAAGATTTAATAGAAAAATGTATTAGATATTTGCTTTTTATTTGTAAATTTATCTTTTTTTGTCATCATTTTATGTTCTCCTCATTTATGCCATATTTTTTGAATCTGTAGAAAAAGTAGTATATCTGCCATACAGGGAACTAAATTCAGATCATCTACTCATTTGATAAGATTTATTAAGAAACAGTTCCCCGTTGTAGGTAGGTATTTCTTGGCAACAATTGCAAAAATACTGTTAAAAAAATCCTTGGAATTTCGGTCACACAACAAACACCACTGGCTGCTGGTTTATAGTAAATGTTTGGGTTGGAGTTAAAATAAATGAATTTGTTGACATCGTTACCGTAAATAAATTTTGGATTTGGTAAAACTTACAAAGGTTTTTTAAAAAAAAATGTTTTTGAATAGCGTGTCCCGAATTCCAACATTGTTTTATTATTCATTTTTATTATCTAAACATACTATTTGGGTCATATTTTTAAAGCTTTTAAAACATATTTACCTGCAGGGCATAGTTTTCTCGCAGCCTCTCGAGTTGTTGACTTTTGTATTGTTCAATGTTGTCGAGCATCGCGTATATTTGTCTTGCTCTTGGCGACACTCTATCCCGTTTGCAAAAGCTGCAGAAGTTATTGAAGACACCGAACCTGGAAGAAATTTAGAATTAATGGCTTCATTTGTCGTCTTAATCTCAGATATGTAAAAATATTTTAATTAATTAAACGGGTGTTATAATGTCGGCTTTCGAAATAATTATTAAAATATTCACCATTTGTATGGTGTTTTCTCCATGTTAAAAAAAATAAAATTTATATCATTGTACGAGGAGCGGAATAAAATTTATATTTCTAACTATTATTCGTCAAAAATTAAAACTATTCTCAAAAAGTTCTCGGAAGATCAATTATAAAATTATAACAGACTACATTTTTTTTTAAAACGTTTTAATGTGATACTTGGGATCCTCCATTTTATTCTGAAATATATTAATATGTTAACAATGTTTTGAACATGCGAGTGATTTATAGGCAGAGATACGCCGAATGCATTTATGGTGTAAATTATTGCATCTAACTGATTCTAATTCTGGATGAATACAACTTTCATTTGTTTGCTTTTACAATTTATAAATAGCTTGTTACATCAAAGTTTTCCTTGGATACAAGTAAACTAAATCTTATAAAAATTACGATTTTACTGTAAACATCATAAAACTTGACTGCTATTTAATACATTACATCTCATAATCGTTTTAACTTTTAGATGAAAACTGTTTTTATGTAGTTTGTATGAACGTTTTCATTCCAACCAAAAGCGATTTACCACATGGAAATCTTCGCCAATTTGATCATATCGGTATGAAATATAACCGGAAAATTCTAGAGACTTACACACGCGACATTTGAACATGAAAAAATAATTTTATTTAGCTGTTTTTATATGTATATACTCATTAAAATGCAAAACGTTTTGTTTATCAATACCAACTTAAATATAGTACTTAAATATTTTTGTCTGGCATAACCTTTAGCTACACATAATATAAATTGTTCGAAAACTATATGTAATTTAAATAGATAAATTAAAACACGCGAAAGACACAACGGGGAAGAGACACAACAACATCATTGTTGTAATATTGTATTGTAGAAATATATTACGTAAGAGAAAATTGTTCCATTAACAGAATAGTTTAACAAGTTGCGATGTTTTGACAATTTAATGGTGGAAATAGAAAAAAAATTGAACTGAAACTCTGGAAAACGTTATGTATGAATTGAAAATACAGAAAGTTACATAAAAATAGCCCGAGAAAACATTATCTTATATCAGCTAAGGTTTTCTGAAATTTCAATAACTTAATTGCGGAAAATAATTATAATTACTATTTAAATGGCCACAATTAAAGGTTCAATCACGTTTATTGACGTTTCAATTTCCACTTCGAAAATCGTTCTCAAAATACAAACATTAGTAAATTAAGTTTGTTTGTGACTTACTCCCATTTAAATAGTAATTACTTTAAAATGTCACAAGAAAATACTTCAGAAAATAATTATATTAAAAATGTATCTCCCATCAATATATATTTTTAAATTCTAGTTTATATTTTAAATAATTTCAAAATAAAATTATAAAAAATTCTTGGTGTGGATTTTCATTATACATTTTTTAAGATTCCACTTCGTAACTTTCCTTTTTTACACGTTCCTATATTTGGAATTCAGCCATAAAGGTTCTAAAACATTTATAATAATCGACTTTTTAGTCTGTCTGCCCTCGTTATGAACGGCGCCTAACTAGGAATTGATATATTTTTTGAATAGCTAACAACTTTTCGGTTTCTGCTTTTAACTTGAAATGCTAGATAAAAAAATCATTCTTCAGTAAAGAACGCATTATTTTCCAAGAAAATTATACATTATAAAAACTTATATACCCATTCCATATTTTTTTAATTAAAGTATTTTTATTAAATAAAATTGAAAATAAAAACTTACTTGTTCGTTAAGTATCGTAGGAACTGTATGATCAGGGTCAGCCCTAGGAATCCAGCAGCACTTTGCGTTCCCACAATCAAAGAAATGATCCTAACGTGGTTCCAATCCGTGGGATCGATGTGCAGCAACACATTATCCGTTAAATTCGCTATTGGATTACTAGCATAGCAGGTGTATCGACCGCAATCTTCTCTAGTTACGTTCTTAACCCAAAGAGTTCCGTTGTCTAGTATTTGAATACGTGGAGGAATCACTCTTAGAGGTATCATCAACTGGTCGTGAGCGTGGGGATGTTTATTAAAGGTGTCTGGAATACTTTGATCCGGATTCCAGTGGTAGACTTCTCTCTTCGGCGTAACCCACGTTATAGAAGGAGAAGGATTAGCTGCAAATCTACATTCGAGTAATGCATCCGAATTAAGTCGGTAGCGTCTAGTAGGTGTTTTATATACTATTCTAGGAGAAGTGCAATTAAGATGCTGTAACGTAGGCAACATGTCGTTTGTGTAGGCATCAGGACAGGTTAGGTCTGACAGGACCATATTGCCCTTCATTTTGATGTTGGGTACCCAACGAGCAAACCAGAACATGCGACAGTCGCAAGCCCATGGATTGTTACTAATATTTAGCTTAGTTAAATAAGTTAGATTTGCAATAGATTGCGGTAGGAACGTTAAATTGTTGCCGCTGATGTCCAGTTCGTTAAGAAAAGGTGTATCAGCAAAGACGTAAGTCTCTATCATTTTAAGTTTTTTATTACGTCTTAAATTCAGTACATTCAGTTTAGGTACTCCCAATAGCTCAGTATTGTGTATTACTTCGATCAAGGTGTTGTCTAATGTAATCGAAGTCAATAGAGGACTAAAATGTAACAAACCAAAAGTTAATTGAGAAAGTTTGTTGTGGCTCAGATCTAAAATTCTCAAGTTGCGCAAACCTCGGAAAGTACCGCTTGCCATGTTCATTAATGGATTATTCGCTAAATTTAAGTACTGTAAATTGGAAAGTGAGTCGAACAAACCTTTGGCAATGAATTGTAGGGAATTAGTAGATAGATCGAGTCTCTTGAGATCAGTCAAATCAGCTAAACTATTAGAAGTGATTTTCGTGAGATTATTGTTGTTGAGTAGCAACACTTCGATGTATTTGTTGAATTTGAAAAAGTGATCGAGGAACGTGACAAGTTTATTGTGTGATAAATCTAATTCCCTTAGTCCTTCCAAAGGTGAAAAGACTTGAAAAGGTATTGCTTTAAGATTGTTATGATTTAGACATAATACTTCCGTACTGGTATGCGACTTGAAAACGTCTCTGGGAAGATCATCGATGATATTAAAAGATATATTTACTTTGACTAAATTGGTGTAATTGCGAAATTGATAATCATCTAAAACTGTAAGATTATTGAAAGACAGATCTAATATTTGTAAATTTTGCGGATTGACTATCGCATCGTTGATGACACGTATAGAGCTGTGTAACCATTTTAGCTGGTGAATGTTTTTTACGTCCAAACTTCCACCTGTAACATACTCCAGGTCCAGATGGATGACATCTGCGGGAATAAGAAGATTTTCTACCGTTCTGTTGCGACATTGCAAAATGTTGCTTCTGACACGAACGCAGTTGTTCGAAGAAGTATTTCTCGAAATGCGTTGAGTTATAACTCCATCTCCGTGCCTTGTGTGCGCTGCCGATATCCCAACAAATAATACAAACAGCAGCGACCATTTTGTGTTACCGGCTTTTTTCGGCCGGCGAAATAGTTCCATATTTTTCGTTATTCATTGTCTTGGGAGAAGTAAGGGCTTTCAGTTACCTGTAATAAATAAGTTTAAACAATCAAAAGGTTTGTAGATAAAACTTTTATCTAGTAGTTTTAATATAAACAAAAAAATATACGGTACAATGTTATCATGTATTTTATCATTTAATTTGAAACATCCAGATATTAGACCAACTTCCAATCACTTTACGTATTTTGTAATAACTTAAAATTATAGTGATTAGTGTTAGATCTCGTTTCAATTACTTGAATGTAAGAAATATTGTTGATTTCCCTAGTGACCTAAAGAAACTTTCATAACCGTTTTAAAAAATTACGGGGCTGGTGTCAGTTACAATTTCAAGTCAACTGATGTTATTGGCTTATATTATCGATCCTACAATTGGACCAGAACAGACGAAAATATCTCGCCGATGCGTTAATTATCGATTGGTTTTTATTTTATTAGAAGTCGACAGGAATTGGCTGCGCTTCTCATATTTATAAAGCCTCTCTACAAGGTCGCCGAGTTAAGAGGCGATGTCATTCATGTAACCTTTCGGTCGAAAAGAGCGGGAGGCTTGTATCACCATTTTCGTTACAAATGAAACTGAAAAATAAATTTTTATTTCTGGTTCGCTTTAATGTTTTCATTTGCTTGTCCCTTTAAGCAGTATACTGCGGTTCTGGCTCGCTTCTATTTATTTTGTCAGGTTTTTCGATATTTGTGTTCGTTCATTGGCGCTCAAAATCCAGCTTTTTCCATGTTTACATGTCGCTGACAAGTTATATCGCACCAGACACTTTCCGAAAGAAACATAAAAGTGTAAATTTTGTGAAAACCTATTGACAACATTATCCACGAGTTTACAATCTTACATTATGAATTTGAATAGCAAACTATTGAGGAAACTTATTTACCTTTAGGTATAAGTCTAATGCATTTTTTCGATGTCTGCATCAAATAATATTTTTTATTTTTCACGATTTTTGTTTTAAAGCAATTTCATTATCATCTGAGTTCCATTGTAGCCTTAAGCAGGGAAATAACTATTTTCCCATGACTAGTTGATACAGGTATCTAACAACTGCTTTTGATAAATTTGGTGATAATATATATTAAATAAAATATGCAAACGATTAAACAATAAATAATATACAAACAATGTAAGATCGCTATTTGATTTTAAATAAAAGGTTAAGACCGGTAAATTATATGGAAAAGTGATAGAATTTTACTGAAAAAGCATAGAAAATCCTTTAAAATTAGAGCTTCTAAAGATATTTTTGTTAATTTGTTTAATTATTACAAAAATTTCTTAAAAAGTCGAAATTTTGAAATTGATTAATAACTTTTCTAAAAATAAACAAAAAACTTGATTTCGTGTGAGAATAAGGACAATATCACAAATATTCAGTTTTGTTTATCCCTGAAAACTTTTATCTACAACGTTATTATGCGTAAATTATTCGGTCTACATGAATTTTGAAAACACCAAATTGGTCGCAGCAACTAAGCCATTGGCAACTAAGCCGCAGATTCATCTAGAATTTTAAACTGCTGCGTTAGCCTTTTTATTTTTCTGTACACCGAGCTGTGGCTCGATCCCACATCCACTGAACCATTTGACAGTGAAGCGAATGAGGATCGGCCACCTAGCCCGCTTGGCTATCTGACCGACTATTTTTTTAATATAAATATAATTACTCTGTTAAATAAACACAAATTAACTTATTGAATTTTTATAATCTATGCAATGAACTACCCCAAATGGTGCGAAAAATGGACGAATACTCAGATTAAAAATACCAGAATCTGATTTTATTCCAATTTTTCGAAAGGAACTTAAGGAAAAATGGCAGATAGAATATAAATGTAGAGAAAAAAGGACAGTTTTTAAGAATAACAACCAAAAATATTGGAAAAACCATGGTTTTTATTCGGATAACTTTCGAATGCGCTGCAATCATGCTCTATTTCCAGTAACATAAATATAAACTATATTTATGTTACTGGTCTATGTGATGAAATTGCCGACTTACAACATTTCTTTTAGAATGCCCATTAAAAAAGTAGAAATTGATAATTTTTATCAAAATTTAATATATTACAAAATGAAATTTGCAATAAATGTTTCAAATCTATTGACATTAGAGGATAATAGTATCTATAACATCATTATATCAGTATGTAAAATCTAATATTACTTTGTAAGCAGTATTCCGACTTGTGAATAAATTTGTAAGCCTAAAACGAAAGAAAAACCAAAAAAAAAACAAACCAATAAATGAATGATATTAAACAATAAAAAAAATAATAATAAAAAGAAACTAACAATAAAAATAAAAGAAAAGTTATAATATTATATATACTTATATAAAAAAACAAACTAAAATTATTGTAACCCAATTTAACATGTATATAATGTAAACAATGCATGATAAAACTATAGGAAAACATGACTGGCCTTTTGGCTTTGCCAGTGCCATTAACCGAGATATTGTTAAATTTTATAAATTCAGTTTTTGAAATAATTAAATCGATAAATAAAAAAAGGGCTAACTTGGATTCTAAGGGTCGTAGGATATTTTATTTCTTTTTAAAAGCCAACTTACATTGTTTACAAGTAAAAAATGACGTTTAATCGTTTGCATATTTTGTTTATTACACAATGTTGTCACCAAATTTATCAAAAGCAGTTTTTAGGTACCTGTAACGACGAATGTCACGAAAAAGGCTTTTTATTTGCTTCTTTCTCTGGTCTACCTATGCAATTCGGTTTATAGGAAAATTAAAGACCAAGAGAATTTTAACGCCAACAGTGTCTATTACATAGAACTTATTTACAAGAAAACTATAATATCTAAAAAAATCTAATACATTACCATAGAGTAGTGCAGTTTTTACTTTGGTACACCGGTGTAGTGTAGTTGTCATTTATACATTGTTTTAAATAATTATTGATAAACCATTGTGCTTTAAAACTAAATTATGTATAACTGCGACTGGTATATTGGCAATTGCGTTAGTTGATATGCATACAATACCTTCAAGTTAAATAAAAAACTGGAGCTTAACAGGCCTCGATTTGTATTACAGACAGAATCGTCTAGTAACCTAATCTCCATACTTCTAATATTTCGTTAAGAGTAGTCTTGTTTTGTTACAATTCTAAGTTCTTCAAGCAGTTGTTAACTTCGTGTTGCTTATTCTAGCTGTGCCCGGAATTATTCGATAATGCTAACATATTTTCCATGGTGACATATATCATGATATAAACAGAATAATGTTGTTTGAACAACAAATGACAATGTAAAAGTTGGTTTGGTAAATATATACACACAGTGGACGGGTAGGCCTAATCACCTCAAATTAGTTTTGAAAAATACTCGTTGCTTTTGTCGATAAATAAATATAATTTATTCAGTAATTGTTTTCGATAAAACATGGCTGGGCTAAGTCAAGGTAATTAAACAAGTATCTAACGACCAAACATAACAAAAAATACTAATTAAGGAATAATAGAAACTTAACTGATAAGTTAGTAGCTATTGTTCACTGTTATTAATATTTTTTTTTATTAAACTACAACAATGGTAATTACATAAAACCGTAAAGGAATATTCAATTTTTTATTGCAAAAGTTTCGGCCTCTTAAAGATTGACTGGCTCTTAGGAAATACAACTCTCAAAAGGAAACGTGAAAGCGATTCATCAATAATTTTTATAGATCAAGTAGCCAGTATAGTCTGGTTAGAAGTCCAAAAAGGGGGTCAATATTTCAAATTTTAAAATATATATAGAATAGGCTGTGCAAAACATAAAATAAACCAATCCAAAACATTAGGCAGAATAATCCAAACACTTGAAGATGACATTAAAGAAGACTTGAACCTAGGGTTGCTTTCAACGGGGGACGAAATCCCCCCTTGTCGGGTCTGAAAAAACATACTTTTAAAATAAGTCCGTAAATGGATAAATCGACTAAGTAATTCTAAGCAACTTTTATTTTATAGAGTTTGTTCAATAAGCCAATAAATACTTTTTGAGTTAAAAAATGTTCATTTAAAAAAAAACACGTTTCAGTTGGTTTTTCACAAAAAACTCGAGCAGAGTTGTATTGTAGCTCATGAAAAGTGGGTTATTATTTTTGTCAAATTCCAAATTGACAACGAGAAATAACCAAAAGTAAATTTTCGCGGAAACCTCATCTTTGAAAGTGTTTAAAAAAAGCTTTATTTTTGGGTTTTCAAAACGTTTTTAGCATCAAAACTAAGAGAGTTACGCCCAAAATAAAGTTGGTTGTTTTTTTTTTTGAAAAATATCGTGAAAATCACCCAAATTAGCACACCAAATAAAATTAATCGTTACTGCTTCCCAATTTACTTTATGTATTTTTTTATATGATCTGTAAGTTTGACCGGTTCGAAGTGCTTCTTTTTGAAAAAAAATTGTAATTTCATAACAATTTCATCAAAAAATTATTTTTAGTTTCAATGAAACAAAAAAAAAACTACCACTATTCGAATTTCTTTCTTCGCAAGGTGTGGTTTTTATAAGGGTGAAAATTATGAGGTAAAAAATTAAAACAGTAAAGAAATTTAATGTTACTATATAATTAAATAATTTCAAATTGCTTAAATTCATAATTAAATGAATTTTTTCTAATAGTCGTTTTCACCCCTCACAAATTAAGGCAACTAACGGTACAAGTCCAATTTTGAAGTGTAGGGTAAATAAGGTAAAAATCAAATTTTCCATACAAATCAGTGGAGACAAGGTATTCAGTGACATTGTTTTAATTATAACTAACATAGAGGGAGATATTTAGGGGTTAAACTTCTTTTTATAGACACGACTGTCTGTTTTTCAATGTGCCTCCAGTAAATTGTCATTCCATCGTTTTCGTGGTCTTCCTACTGATCGTATTCCTATTGGGGAACTGTCTCTTGCCGTCTTTACTACTCTATTTGTTGTCTTTTGGCTTATATGATCGTTCCATTCTACTCTTCTATTTCTTACCCAGTTTTTGATGTTCTCCACCTTGCTCTAT